GTAGCATAAATGTTGCAGTTAACAATGTATAAAATCAGAAAGAAATACAATTAGTGTGGATTTTCCATGATCACCTGCTTTCTATGTTTCTTAAAAAAACTTGGCCCTCACGGATTGTAAGAGAAACAAAACTGAAATGTTTCATTTCTATTCGTGCAACACTGCCACCTGCTGGTTTCCTACTGCTACGAATGCTACAATTTGAGTTTACTTTTATTCAAAAAGAGATTAAAGAAGTGTTTATCAGGCTTAGCGGGCCACAAATTATTCTTTTATGATGCCAATATTGTATCCCTCCCTGTTTGCACATTAACCTGAGTCACAGGTCGGCCATCAGTGAAAGATCACACAAAGATTACAGGATGCTGCTCATTCAATAATAAAGTCATTGACATTTATTCTTTATAACAGATATTTTGCATGTAGACACGTGTTTTCAGCAGCTTATTCCACTGACTAATTCAATAAATCCAACCTTTGTCTCTTGGGTAAAGCAAGCAAGACTGGAAGAGTTATGTGATAAGGATTGTCCTGGACAGTTCTATCAAAGACAAACACTTTAGAGACTAGTCTCCATATGCTCTTAAGCCTTAGCGCTTCATGCTCTTTCAGTGAAACAATTTCAGATGGGTTTGAATTTGACTGCAGTTGAAGAAGTCTTAAAAATCAGACTTCATGATGAAAACTGCATTAAATTGGATCCATTGCCATGGACGGAGTGCTGATCTGCTATTACTTTACTGATGCCAATCAACATGGGAGTAAAGGGAATTTATGGAAATGGAAGAAAAAGTGGATGCATTTTAGAGGACCAAGATGAGAAAGGCTTTCCTTGTCTGAGAAAGAATAGATAAGAATAAGGATTTTTCATATGCCTCACATCAGTATAAGGAGAAAAATACACGACAGTCAGTCATTAGTCGCAGGGAACAGGAGTCTATTTCATGTGGTAGAAAGTATTTTATTTCTGTTTTTAAGAGTTTCTCATTAAGAAACATTCAGTAAGCGAGACTCCCTTTCACAAGGCCGCCAAGCCATGTTTGTTCCAATGTAACCACGCAGTACCCAACCAATCAGGCTTTGTTACTAATCTTACTTGTACTTACTGGATTTTATTTTTGAGAGTTCAACCATATTCTCCACCTTCATCGGCCAAAGTTGTCAAAGAGATGGCACAGTTGTAACTTCCTTTACAATGACTGAAAATTAAAGGAGAGGCAATGAGAAAACGGCTGCCCACCTCCACCAGATGCACATGACGAATTAACCCTTCTGCACACCTGGACACTAGTGACCGGAACTCTCTCTCCCCTTACCACTGACATCGTCCAGATGGCTCCCTAGCTCCATCTACTGGTGTATGAAGCCACTTCTTTCCACTGAAATTAGGCAGGATCTAGATTCTCAGGTGAGCCCTATTATCAACATTCTCTGCTCTCCATTTCCACTCTCTGCTCCAGTATTTAGCATCCCTGTACTCATCACCAGTGTCCGTAAGCACCGCCAGTTCCTCCCCAGCACAAGTTTTTGTAACCAGGATGACTTAGTTCTAATTAAACCAAAACCATTGCCATCTGCTAGTGGGCCCTCCTGTGACTCTGAGCAAGTTTTATTTAACCCACAGACTTTTAAGTCAAGAAATGGCTTAGATTTTATGCATTTAAATATTAAAAGTCTTTGTGCTCAGTTTAAATTAGATCATCTGAAAACTCTTGTATCACAAACTGACCCAGATATCCTTGTGCTGACAGAAACTTGGCTTAAAAAGAGTATCCATGATTTGGAAGTTGCAATAAATAATTACAACTTGTACAGAAAAGACAGAGAGGGACGAGGAGGTGGCGTGGCTATATATGTAAAGGACTTTATATCTGCGACTGTTCGAAATACTGTCTCTATACCTCACTCGTTTGAATGTATTGCTCTACAAATTCAAATCTCTTGTAACAGATCATTGACTGTGCTAGGTGTATATAGACCACCATCAGCTAATCCCAGTGCTATTAATCATTAACAGAAATGTTTTCTCAGTTCAGTACTTCAGAAATCCTGGTTTTGGGTGATTTTAATTTAAATTGGCTGTCAAATGATACATTGAGCTTAAAGGAAATGTGTGACAATCTAAATCTATCACAGATCATAACTGAACAAACTAGACCAAATTTGAAAGATCCCTCAAAATCAACATTGATTGATCTAATTTTTACCAATAGGGACAAAATTACAGCCTCTGGGGTCTTTTCCCTAGACATCAGTGACCATTGTCCTCTGGCATGTATAAGGAGTGATAGACTAGCAAAATCTAAGCCCAGGATTGTACTCAAGAGAAATTTCAGAAATTTTAATGAACAGGTGTATTTAATGACATTGTGAACAGTAATATATGTCAAACATCTGAAATACCTGATGTGGACCATGCACTTGAATATTTTACAAATACATTTCTTGAAATTATTGACAAGCATGCACCTTTTAAAAAGTTAAGGGTCAAAGATAGATCAAGCCCATGGTTCTCCACTGAATTATCTTTACTCTTAAAGGAAAGGGACAAAGCCTGGGCATTAGCAAGAAAGACAGGCACAGCAGCCCATTGGCTTTTATTCAGACAACTCAGAAATAAATGCAGATTTTCACTGAGAAAAGCTAAAACCTCTTATCACCAGGAGTTGATTTCTAGTTGCTCTTCAAACCCATCAAAATTCTGCAAAGCAGTGAATATAAACAAATAAATCCTCCCCATCTCTCCCTTCTTATGTTATTTTAAATGAAGGCCAAACAAATAAAACTTAAGATATTTGCCGTGCTTTTAACCTTCATTTTGCTGATTCTGGGAGTCAGTTTGAAACATTGTACTCTGAAAACACTGTTAATATCCAGCCGCCGGCTCATATTCCTACTTCCCACAACCATTCCCCTAAATTTACTATACAGGCCTTCACTTCCTGTAATGGAGGCTCTGCACTCTATAGATATTAGGAAAGCAAGGGGAGAAGATAATCTAGAGCTGTACTTTTTAAAACTCTGTGCCCCTCTAATCAAGGAACAAATTTCCTATATTTTTAATCTTTCAATTACCACTGGAGTTGTCCCTCAGGTTTGGAAGTCAGCACACATCGTCCCTCTGCATGAGGGCGGCGACAAAAACAAACTCAACAACTACGATCTCCAAACTGTCCAGCCTCTCTAAAATCTTGGAGACATTAGTCAACAATCAACTAAAATCATTCCGTTCAAGAAATTCTGTATTAAGTCCTCACCAGTCTGGGTTCAGAAAAAAAACACAGCACCACATCAGCAATTACCTTTGTCATAAATAATATTGTATCTGCTGTTGATCAAGGGAAATACTGTGCTGCCCTCTTTGTTGATTTAACGTTTAACGTTGATTTAAAGCGTTTGACTCTGTTGATCACACCATACCCTGCAGAGGCTACATGATGTTGGTTTTGACAACTCCTTATTTAAATGGTTCCAGAATTATCTGTCTAATAGATTGCAATGTGTGACTGTACAATCTGATCGCTCTGAATACTTACCACTATCAAAAGGGGTTCCACAAGGTTCTGTATTGGGTCCTGTGCTGTTCACGATCTATATTAATAATATTGCTTCTGTATTTACAAATTGTAAGGCCCATCTCTACGCTGACGACACAGTTTTGTATTGTTTTGCTGAGACTGCACATTTAGCAATGGAAACTTTACAAGAAGCACTTCAAAAATTACAAAATGCACTCCTTTTTAAAATTATTACTGAATGCAGACAAAACTAAATATATGCTCTTTACACGAGCCAGAAATACCACAGACAATGACTTGCATATAACAACTCTGGAAGGTCACAATATTGAAAGAGTACCCCATTATAAATATCTTGGCATCTGGTTGGATCAATCCCTTTCATTTAAATTTCACATTGATACATTAACCACTAAACTACGACAGAAAATTGGATACTTGTACAGAAACAAAGTGAACTTCCCCTTAGTGAGTAGAAAGCGAATAATTGAAGCCATCTTCCTATCTGTTCTGGACTACGGGGATGTCATATATAGACATGCTTCTGCCTCCACCCTAAAATCATTAGACACAGTTTATCACTCCGCCCTCAGATTTATCACTGGTGACAAATATTCCACTCATCATTGCATCCTGTACGATAAAGTTGGTTGGCCTTCACTAACAGTTAGACGTGAACGGCATCGGCTGCTATTTATTTATAAATCACTTGTGGGTAATCTACCAGCATACATCACTTCTTTATTAATCTGGGCTGATAATCAGTATCAGACTCGATCAAGTGACTGGCTAATGTTAACGGTTCCACATGTAAAAATGAACTTTGGGAAAACATCCTTCACCTATTGTGCTGCACACACCTGGAACACAATACAAAACCCATTAAAACTCAATACAATGGTTACCATGGGTCAATTGAAAAACTTGATCACAGTTCACTGTACTCATGAGTGTAAATGTTATTAACTGTAGTTACCTGCTTACTGCTTATTCTTCTGGTCTTATAATCTATGTGTTTCGTCTTTGTTGTTTTTTGTCTTTTTTGTCTCTTATTCGTTTTTTATTTGATGTCATTGTAAATGAGGGCTTGCCCTCAGTGATTTCTCGAGAATAAATAAAGGTAAAATGAAAATGAAATGAATGAAATATTTCAATACCTGATCTTTCAGTTAAATCACCAAGAAATGCAAGAAATGTGGCTAAACTGTCGATTAACATTAAAAGAGAAGCACAATAACAAAATAGCCAAATATTTGACAATGCATTAAGGCCCATTAAATAGAATTGTCATTCTTTCAAGTAAACACTTATATTAAAAGAATGAAAAATGCCCAATATTTTATCAATGAAAGACTTTTAAAGAATTTCGCAAATGTTTGACATGTTTAAAAATTAATTAATAAATAAATACTGATAATAAAAGAGAGAAAAAAAACGTGATTTCCGTGCTTTTATTTTGAAACAGGAACTGGGAAGCGACGTCGCTATGGAAACGCTAAAAGTCGCAGCATAGATAGCAACCGTGTGCCTTCTCTATGTCATATTTGTAGTAAAGTTCTCATTTGATTTACCATGGAGGGGTCAAACACATACCTCATACGACCCAATCACCAGCACAAGTGAGTGGGTCGGAGTGGTTTAATAAAATTGCTTGCTGGAGAATGTAGTTTGCTAACGATATGTTTTGAGCTAAGTGTTAGGTCGTAAGCTAACTTGACTTTTTGCGTTTGTTTCATTTTAATATGAACTTCGATGACTTGTGTTTATTTTCCTCCTTGTCGCCCACTGTTGAATATTACAGGTTTAAGCCAGCTGTTGTGAAGGAGTGTATTCGTGAAGTTGTAAGAGAGAGACTGTCCGGGCTGCAGTACGACCCAGATGAAGTGCCAGATCTGTCCCGTTCACTTGCAGACTGCATAAAGGACAAAGTGAAGAGTGAGTGATGCTTAATCCACCTCAGAATAAGTAACCATCAAATAACTGTTGTCATTTTGAGTATTCTTTAAATCAGTAACAGGAATAACAGTGACATATGGGACTGAGTGCTCCCCCATTGTAAAGATTTCCACACACTTCATGAGAACACATTCACTATCTTGTTGTCATAAAGGCAGCAAATCATAAGGAAAAAGCAAGTAAAGTGTAAACTGAACACAAAATGTTGCCAGATGAATAAACCGGAAAACAATGTATTCAAATATCTTTGTTCAAACATTTAATGACAGTTCACTTTCCTTCTTTAACAGATGCAGGGTTGGATAGATATAAGCTTGTTGTGCAGGTGATCATTGGAGAACAACGAGGGCAAGGAGTCAAGTGAGTTGCTGAATGCAGATGTAGCTTTTGATGACATGAAATTGATGCAATGTGTATATGTCAAGCAGACACAAGCCAAAAGATAGCTCAAATTAAGTTTTAACAAACTACTTTTTACTTAAACAATCTAGTTGACTGAGTCACATCTAAACTTTTAAATCCACTGCACATAAAATTATTAAGATGATATTTTTGATCTTAGTTTAATAAGCAAATTAATCCACATCCCATAAGTCACTATCACCCTCCTCTTCTGTTTTACCAGGATGTCTTCAAGGTGCTCGTGGGATGCTGACACAGACAACTATGCAGAGGATGTTTTCATGAACGTAGGTGTCTTTGTTTTAAAGGGGGGTTGTTTTAAAAGACAACTGTTTAACTAAGATGTTTTTTCCCCTCTCTATAGGACAGCTTGTTCTGTACAGTGGTCGTTTTTGGAAGCTATTACTACTGAGAGGATGACTAAACCTTCTTTCAGCTAAAGATGAGAGGTGATCACTCGAAAAAAGACTGCTCATCGTCAGCCAACACGGTGTCTGTGGAATGACTGTAACCCTCACCCAACACAGATGAAGTTCGCTCGTCCAGTGTAAAGGTGATGGCACTTGTGCTGATACTGAAGTAATTTTAAAATGAAGGACTTTATCAGAATGTCATGATTTGGCAAGATTATTCAAGACTGACTCCATTTATTAGCTGATGATTGATGACACCTTGACTAGAAATGTGAAAATTAAGATGTCCTGGAGAATGTGAGACTCATTATAGCATATAGCATATTATAAAAAAAATATGTTTTACTACATAAGGCAGCTGATTTTGAAATCCACAAGTGAGATAGCCAACTTAGTCACAATTTCTTTGTTTGTGTAAACTGAATACTTAAAAAGCATAGTAACCAGTGATCAATATTCTCAACAAGTCACATTACTAAGCAGTGTCATTAGATTATTTGCGGTTCCTTGTGATTACAAGCTTTACCTGCATAATAGAAGACTGCAGCAATAGTATCAAGTACCTGTGAGTACTTACAAATGCAACAACTAAGTAAAGGGAAATGAATGCAATACTACTGTTTGTGTGTTGGAATTAGCACAGCAGTTACAGTAGAGGTCAGTATTTGCCTGTGATTGTCAGTGTCATGTCTGAGATTAAACAGTTACAGTTATCTGATACTATAGAATAAATAAATGATGACCACATTCAGCATTTGCACCTCGACCATAAACAAATCAAACCACTGATGAAAGATTTCAGTGTATTTCCAATTGTGGGGGACAAAAAAAACAAGGATGGAAACAAAAGTAAAGAAATATAACATACATACATTTATCTGCCCAGCCCGCATGGGTTTACACAACACCATGAATGAAAACATTTCAGGACCGGAGTGCAGAGTTGGTCTATTCATTGTCATGGAACAAAAAGAGAAGAAAAAAGCAAGATAAACCCTAATCAAACAAAATATCTTGTCCAAGCTTTTATGACAAAATTATTAAGTTAAAACACATCAAACATAAACAGACATTCAAGTTTTTGCACATCTGTCCACCACAATACTTCAGGTTTTTGACGAGCTTCTTCATGAAACAATAATTCTCTTAAATCATCATATTTTGTATGCAAAAAAAAAAAATGGGACTCAGTTTCCACTTCGTCCAACTCACACATCTCACAATGTCTGTGAGAAGGACCAACCAGAAGATTTAGACATGCTTGGGATCTTCAGAGAAAGATGCAGGATTACTTACTTATTTTAAACAGAAGTCTAGTGGAATCAGACCAATCATGTCATGGAATATCCATCACTTTTCATTCAAGGTTAAGCGAAGACCGGCACAAAGCTCCAGTGTGAAAAAGATTGCCCACAATACCACACCTCAGAGATGGATAATCATCAGCTGCCTGCATCAAGAAAGGTGTTTATTTATTATCTAAATATCTAAATGATGGCTTCCTTTAGTTTCAATCCACCACATCACCAAATGATTGTGGTGACCAAATTACAATAGACTCTTCATACATTAATTAACACTTCATTTCAAATCGTTTTTCTCACTGGGAAAAACAGCATGGATTACTAGTATACTTTTGGATATTTTACATGTATTTTATGTTCATGAAATATATTAAAATGATATAACTAAAACATCCATGCCCAGGACAGTGAAATTAATTAAATTAAAGTGTGGATTTTTGTAAGTGCGTGGACCCACTGTTACATTTTCAGTGTGCCAAAATAATATACATCTCTTAAACACGTGTTCATTCACATTATATCCAATAATAATTATACATGTCTATAAATGGTAGTTTTTAGTTGAGAAGCACGACACTTCAGAGAATCTTTTGAGCTCACCAGGCAGCTGAGAACACAGCTTATCAAACTGTTGAGGAAGTTTGATCACAGGCGTTATTTCACATGAAATGGAGTGACCAGAAATACTGAAATCCCATGCAGAGCTTTTATTTTCTGTATATTTAGGTTAGTGTTTTGATCATCATGTTCAGAAAGTAACTTTCAGGATTAGGTGTGAAGATCCATAACATTTGTATTATGGAATGTTTGTCTCATTAAAATGGTGTATTGCATTCTTCAGATGTGTCTGTTGTTGCTTATTTCACATCAGCTTTATGGTTCCTTAAAAGATGTCTATTTAAGTATTATTATCAGACTGTTAACGTTCCCTTTAAATGTATTATTTGCAACCATAGACAGTTACCTGACAAAAAGAAAGGAAAGAAAATTCACTCAACAGTCTAGAGTTCGACTCTTTCTCATGTGAACAGTGGACGATATAGATATTCCTTTTTTCAATCAGCTAGGTCCTTATCACGTGTTCTTTTATTTTTGTGATTACTCTTGGGGGTCTTTATTCAATTCAGCGAGCGATTCATCAGCTGGAATGGCAAATGCCTCTCAGACTATAAATAACAACTAATGAGGCTGTTGAAAAAATCAAGCTTATCTGAATCAATTAGTCAAATGACATGCTGGATAAACATGCCACACGGATTGGTCCTCCTATTTCCTTCTGTGAAGTGCAACTGAGTGGTGAATGAATCACTACAGAGGCTTAAAAACATCAGAGATATTATTTGGACATGAGAAGTCTTTATTGAAAGTCAAATTTAAATTTATAGTAACGCTCAATTATAATGGGTCATAAAAATTGCATACCATTATCAAAACTATATTCTAAGCAGTTCCCTTAACCTTTGATAAAACACACCTACGTTTAAATGATCAAGTGATAACAATATGAATTCATTCATAATTTTGATGGATTTAAGAACTTTTCATCCTAATTAAGGGAGATAATGGAGACTCTTTTTTAAAATACCGTATTTTCCGCACTATAAGGCGCACTTAAAAGCCTTTAATTTTCTCAAAAAACGACAGTGCGCCTTATAATCCGGAGCGCCTTATATATGGATCAATTGGTTAATTGGTTGATCCATACTGGTTGTACACGGCGCTCAGCGACACTGACTCGGATAATGACGAGAGGGAGCCGGGCATGTTGGATGCCGTACTCGCAAAACTGTTCAATTCAGACACTGAAGAAGAAGAATTCAAGGGATTCGTGGACGGGGAATGAACTGAAAAAGTGAGCTTTACATGTTATACGTAACTGAACAATGTTGAGTTATGCACTAACGTTTGAATTAGCGGTATCAGACTGTGTTTCTTTTACGTGTTTACAACTGAACAAGGCTGGGAGATATTGTGAATATGCACATTAACGTTTGAACAACGTTGAGTTATTGTGAATGCACTATATTTATATATTCACAATATCTCCCAGCCTTGTTCAGTTGTAAACACGTTCTATTCTATGCGCCTTATAATCCGGTGCGCCTATATATGAAAACAGTTCTAAAATAGGCCATTCATTGAAGGTGCGCCTTATAATCCGGTGCGCCTTATAGTGCGGAAAATACGGTAGTCCTATTTTCTTATTCCATTTAAATTTCTTATACTAATACATGCTTAAAATCACTTTCTTCAGTGTCATTGTACCTCAATCTTTTGAATTTTAAAGTTGTTTTTTTTGTTGCAGCTTTTGCCTTTACAGTACAGCTGAAGATAGACAGGAAACGTGGGGAGAGAGAGTAGGGGATGACATATACCAAGTAGCAACAGGATCGGGAGTCGAACCTGCGACCAGTGCAACAAGGAGTACAGCCTCTGTACACGGGGCGCCCTTTCTACCAACCAAGCCCAAACCTCTTTAGGATTTCATAGAGTTATTTTGACAAAAAGTTCCTGGAGGGGCTCAATGTACCCCAAGGACAAAGTCTGCTACGTTATACAAGCTCTCTTAGCATCTTCAGTCTGATACATGACTGTGGTCAACCACCAACACATAAAGCATATCATTCTGTGCACTTATCCATGCACTGATTCTGTCTTTGCATAATGTTAGCATTTACATTCTAGCTGACATTTTTTACATGGTCGGTTCATATTGGATTCATGTCCAGCATCATTAATGACTTGTGTCAGTTGTGCTTGAGTTTTACCTTTTTCTGTTCTGCTGTCAGTTTGTGTGACTGCTTTTGGTTTAGACCTGACAACAGTAGCATGGGCCTCAGGGTGAGATTCACTCACTGTTATAATCTCTCACCCTTTTCTGGGTTAAAATGGCCGGAATAGGGATTCTGCGAGCGTGTTCTTTGAGCACTGTTCATTTGAAATGATCATTTTACCTATAGTTCCTCCTGGCTTCCATGACACATTTCCTTTTTAATGCAGTAAGATGCTCAATAAGTGCTAATCTGTACGCTTCCCCTTCTGTTCTGGTAGATGAGGTATAAAATACCTTGGATAATGGAGACAGTGATCTGGAATGACTCAACTGCAGATATGAAATGTTTGCAACACGATTGTCATATCTCTGCATATATGGCAGATTAGCATCAGTAAACCAACCCTTAACCCCTGCAGTGAAATCAAAACATGGTCCATTTTTATCAAAAAAACATTATTTTGCCTTTCTTAATTTAGCCTGTGGTTACTTAAGATTCAAGACAGATTCTGTGTACGTCATTTCCTGCCTCAATAACTTAATGAATTGCATCAACTGGTGTTGCACTGATTCAACATTATCAGTGGATTTCATAGAGACCTATAGTTGTTTCATGAACCTCTTTTTTTCACGTTTGCAACAACAAAGCATTTTTCTTTTTGAAGAGAAACTCAAAATCTAAATTAATCTAGTCACTGTAGGGTTAGAAATGTATCCCCATGATGTTTTATCTATAATCATATATTTAGTAAATATGATCACACCTTGGATGGATTCATGTTTAGAGAGCTATACATATGAGTTCTGTCACAGAATTGTTAGCGAGCTGTCTGCTTACCTCTCACTACTACTAACCAATGGTTACCTGCAGTGTTTGGCTCTGAGGGAGATGCAGTGTGCGTCGAAACGTTAGTCAATGCACCTTAATAAATTGCATTAAATGATTTGTGTGCTCAAGTACTTACTTTGGGATAGCCTCTGTGAAGGAGTCCATTGAATGTGTTTCTTGTATATTTACCTGGTGCCTTAACTGCCCAGCTCATTCACAACAGAAACATGAATACAATTTATAAATTCTTAATATTAATACTATCATTCTCAAACTTGACTAATTATATTCCTGGGACAACATGTAAATAAATAAATGTTTAATAACTGAAATTGTTATATATCATGTATATCGTTCTGACAGGAAACAAAACAGACTGCCTGTAAAGCTAAGCAGACAACTTATAAATCACATGAACTACCTTTGGATGTATGGATGTATGGAAGTTTTTTTTATTTTATTATGGTGCCATACATAGATTTATATTCCCAGCCTGCATGGGCTTACATGACACCATGAATGAAAACGTTCCAGGACCGGAGTGCAATGTAGGTCTATTCATTTTGATGAAACAAAAAGAGAAAGAAAAAGCAAGATAAACCCTAATCAAGAGCTTTGGATGCTCTGTTTAAATTGCTATGATTATAATTTGCCATGCTCATTGTTTGACATGTATTGTTCTCAGTGTCAGGTAAGTCAGGTGAGTACAAATACCTTTTAAAAGGAGGATTTGACGGATCAAATTCATGACTTCCTTTAATTTTTCTTTCAATAATATTTTAATTTTGGTAGACGAAGAAAAGCTTTGCACTTTAATTTAAGGAGTGTTTAAAAAAAACTCATGCCTGGATTATTTTTTAAATCTCTGTGTGCAGTCTGTTTCACAGCAGCTCTTTACATTAGACTGAGTCTTTCCCTGCGTGTGCACATTATCACTGTACATGCTGACTGTCGTATGTTTGACCTCGGGACGCAGTGATGTGATTGTGATGACTTCTGCACACTCTTTTTTTATGCTCAGCTCTCTGCTCCTGACTGTGTGTTGTAAAGGAAGCAATAGTGTGTGAGACTATCCAGGAGAATAATGTGACTCATTTACCTAAGCAGATTAAATGGATTTGACTTCATACTCAGACTGGATTTGGTATTTTTGGGTGAAAGTTGTGATTTTGACAGAATTAAGTCCTAATTTTTCAAAAAAGGGTTCAGAGCCACTCCACTAAACACATCTTAACAGGAAGACACCTAAAATGAAAATTAGTCTCTAAGTCAGGCTAATACGCAGAATTCAAATGAACTCTCCAGTCTGCCTCATCAGGCAGGATCAGGTGTTGCAGCCACATATTGCCTTTTGTGCTCTACATATTGTGTCTGATTTTCAAGTAGGGTTTTTCAAAAGTTGGAAACTACACTCTTGGACTAACCGCCTCATCCTGGCCAATCAAAATAAATATATAGGTGAATCAACACGGGAATGTTGAAATGGACTCAGATGAGAACCTTTATACTTGTTGCCATGGAACCTCTACTTATGTTTAGCCATATGCACATTGCTTTTCTTTCCGACTCGATGACTCGTCTCATATTTATGTATAAATATAAAAGTAGGCTGACAGGTCAGTGGTCAGCTTCCCTCAAGATGTCACATGTTTTAAAGATCCTCCATCTTTAACAGTTGTCCCAACCCTTTCCCCATCAGATCATGCAGTGATGAGGCATATAGATGTAAACTCTTTTCTCCTGATATTTACCCACTTTACCCACTCAACACCTGCTGTTCAAACTACTCTGGTTTAGGTTATAAGCAGAATGCCTCACTTTGCAATCCCCTTAACCATCCAAATGTGGAGGTAAATTGTAAAACTGAGAGACATTGATGATGTTTTCACCTGCCCAAGACTTTATTTATCTATACTTACAAATGAAGAGACAGTGTGACTTTGATGTTCTGGTTTTATATGATCACTTCTCCTCTGTACTGTTCGGTTATTATCACAGCGTCATCACAGACACTTATTCCCTTCCTAAACATTAAAAGAGTCTTTCTTTTGGCTTATAAGGAACTGTCATTATTCACTCAGTGAAGAAATAATCCTCTTAAAGGAAGAATCTGCGATGTTTTGATCCAGTAGATGTCGCCCTTGAGCACCATCAAACAAAAAAACCCTGCTGTTTGCAGACACCTCCGCTATTCTGAAGCCTCTGCTCTCCTCCAGCAGCACATCTCCATCCATCATG